TGTTAGCCCTAAACCTTAAAATAAGAATTGCGTGGCATGTATATAATTGCCCCTGAAATTTTGCAAACAGCTCGTGTTTTCGGATCGTTCGTTAAATAAACAAATCAAACACGAACATTTCTTTGTTCGCTCATATTCGACTCGTTTTAGCTCAAAATAAAAAAATAATCATATAATTATTGATATAATCATATATTATATATATTATTTATATGATGATATGTTATATATATATTTATATCTAAATTTAAATCATAATAGCTTGTGTGGTAATGTTTTATATATTTTATTTTGCATAGATTTGATCCAAGTTCAAATCCAATATTTTACATCTATTTTTTTAAATTAATTTTAACAAGTCAATTTTGAGTTGAACATGAGCCTAACTAGAACACGAGATATGAGCAATTTAGATCAAGTCGAACGCGAGCCAAGCCTGTGCTCGCTCAAGCTCGACTCGTTTACAGTCCTAGTTAACACGGGGAAGCTGTAGATGGAGAATCTAAAACTAATTCAAATGTTAAACCACAAGATTTCTTTATTGAACTGGAGTTGAGTTTCAAATTTTTTTCAAATCGTATTTATTTCAAATTGATTTTATTTCTATGACAAGTAGATAAAATAATATTATGACCTACCTCGAAAGGGGTTTATAGAAGGATCATAATCAAGCAATCTTGTTATTAATTATTGTGAAATTATTTTTGAAAAAAAAAGTAATGTTTTTGAATGTTATTTTATTTCTCATAATATTTTTTTTTTAAATGTCATTCAACAACTTTCTTACAATTACCAAACCATAACAAATTTGATTGTAAGAAATAATTTTTCACCAAATAAATTTTTGGAAGTAGCAAAAATGGCAGTCAAATGGAGTTGTTTTTGCGACTTGACAGATAAAATTGTGAGAAAACTGTCTTGAATACACCCTTATTAATCACTAAATAAATGCTCATTTTTATTTAGATATTATCTTATGAATTTATTTTCACTAATACCTCTTGTAGATATATGTTTGTGTGCATATACACACACACACTCTCTCTCTCTCTCTATATATGTGTGTGTGTGTATTATGTATCTGTATGTATGTATATCTACATGCATATGTATGTATGTATAAATTTATATATGTATCTATATGTGTATATGTATTCGTATGTATATGTATGTGTATAGCTGCTCAATCAAAACATAACTCGTTTTACAATGAAACAGGCAAGTAACAAGTAAATGCTGCAGAAAGGAGTTGGTAGCAGAAGTCCCTTTTAAACTCGTATTTCAATCATGCTGGAAAAAAAAAATGAAAGCCAAACGAATTCAACCCCAGCATGATGGAATGGTATCAAGAGAACTGGAATGGGTTTTGAAAAACTAATCATTGAATCTTCTTCAAAAAGTACAAAAATTGCGTTATGATAAGGGCTACCTGTGCCGCCCGCAGTTGCATGATATATCATTAATTTGATAAGATGTGTGGAGTTTGATAGTCTTGATACACCGTATGAGAATGTATATGAAGTGTTTATGTAGATAGGAAAAGTAAGGCATTTTGCTTAAGGTTCACTTAGCTTGAAGTTAGAAATCATGTGTTGAGAGAAAAAAATGTTATAGAAATGTATTGGATTTATTTTTTAGTTGGATGTAGTGAGAAATCTTCAGTTAGTTTAAGCTCCATAATTTTCTTAAAATTGAAGTATTTGAACAGAATTGAATGAGGTTCATCTTCTAATGATTCTGAACTAGCATAACAACTTTTCAAAAGAAATTTTCAAATGGTGATTGTTGGCATAAATTAATTATATCAATGCTTTTTTTTTCAAGAGCTTTGGGTTTTGAGACATTTTCCTCATGAAAGTAAATATATGATTAGAGCTACCAATAATTAAGTGATTATAGGATGCAAGAATTGTGATGATAAAACTACTTAAAATTAAAGACATAATTTAATTATGACATTATGAGAACGCTCAAGTATAGGCAACGTTGGTGAAAAATTTTAAAAGTTACAATTTTCAATGATATATAATTCATCGCTATCCCTCTTAGTTTGACTGTGATAATGAAAATTGTACAACAAAATTGTGTCTGCACTAATCTTAAAAAAATCTAACCGTCCAGAAGAGAAGAGTAGGGCAAAGGTAGATCAACTGCAAGGAAATCGTGAAGCCCACATGACGAACAAGTTAAGTCATCCATGCCAAGTAACTAGGCAAAAATCGATCAAGCCAAAAAAGTAATAAGAAAATAACAGGGTGATCCAAGGGTAAGTCATCTGACTGGAAACAAGACAAGAGAGCGTCTGAGTCATCTACATCAGGAAGCCAACATAATGTGATAACTTATCACACAATGGAGCTGGTTCAACGAAAGATCAACCAATTCCAGAAGTATCTCGGACCATCCTAGGGAGACCCAAAGATTCCTCATCAGGGATCAAAGATAGTCAAACAACTTGGATCAACTACTGAACTCTGTCGATCAAGCTTAACCAATCGAGCTGAATCAACTAAGCCTAGCTAACCAAGCCATATGGCAGTCATATGAAAAGCCCACGGTTGTTAAATATTATAATTATCCAGGTCAAACAGATGTCATAACCAAGTTAAAAATAATACATCACCATTGTACTATCTCCTCTGTAAATAGAGAAAACATTTCATGAAGAAATAACAATGTTAATCTCTCTCTCTTACTCCTCTCTGTCCTCATTTAAGCTCTATTCCTTGACTCATTGGGTGTGATTCACAAAAAATCTCATATTCAGCATTAAAAATAATCTATTGTAATCATTAAAGCATTGTTTTAAATTAAGTTCTAACTGTATTTTGATGTTATTCTTAGTTATATACAATAATGAAATGAATTAGATGGTCATACACTACTTCTATATAAAAATATCCTATGTACATTGCTCTATCATATCCCTGTTCCCATGACAGTGCATTATAAATATTCTTCATTTATCAGTCAAATGCATTGTTAGTGGAGAACACTGTCATATTATCGTGACCTTTGCCCAATAACCTTATTTGACCCTAATTCAATCAAGTATATATGATTATGTTGTCATGCCTTGGGATCATTTGGTCACCTTTTTAAGTAGGGGCAAGTACAATATTGAATTTTTCTATTAGCTTGTATATGAAATATTGTGATATAAAAGGCCAAAATGCTCGTCCTAAAATATATAAATAAGTCATGATTTTGTACTTCATTGTTTTGAAACATGATCTAAAATGAAGTCAATTTTTAATTATAGAGAGTTATAAAGGTTTAACCTCCATTAGCTTGATTTTTTCAAACCCATAATATTTTTTTTTTCTTTAAGCAAGCTAGTTTTCCTTTATTCTAGGTTGACAATTATCCTGGCATCTATCATACTAAAATGAGGGGAAAAAAAGTCCATAAACTTTTTCACCCATCTTATATAAATCTCATGCATTCTGAATTTTGACATAAAATTTGACAAGATTATGATTAATTAAAAGTAAACTAAAGTATGAAAATACTTAGGATCATGTTGAGCTCTATGATGTTAAACTATCTCCTATATATCTGGTAAGCTTTACTGGGCTCTGCCTCATGATTTTGCTATGTTGTATGTCTCTTATAATCAATATCGAGTATTGGGCTCCAATGAGAGTTGTGAATATGAAGCGATTGGCTCAACAGCTTGTCCTGCCAGAATTATTTATCGGACAAACTCATTGATCATATGTCGAAGTGGCGAGTTAGAATCTTCTGAGGACGAGAAGTGTCAAGTTTGCCTAATTTTTTACTTGAACAAGTATGACCTCATAATAATCATAAGTATTGTTCCAAGGGTTACCAAGTTAAATTTTTGTCATAGGGTTTATAGGCATACATATTGCACTATTTTCAACAAAAATTTTGATTTTTATTATTGCATTATTGCACCTTTAAAAATACAAACGAAAATATATAAGGGGTCCATTTTTATTTGGATCAATCAAAATGAAGAGAATATCATCTATACCTTGTTTTAATAAAAATAATATTTATTATCCACCTTATTAGCAACAACACAAGAAAGACAAGAGAGAACATAGATGTGAAGAAATTGAGCTCAAATAAACTTGCGTGATAAGAAAACATTAAAAACACTTCTAAATATTATAAATATTTTTTCTCCGAAGAAAATATTTACTAGTATGGTTAAATTTTAATGCAATGGTTGCCGAACATTGTAGCTCCATGACTGACAAAATTAGAGAGAGTCGGTTTAGATGGTTTGATCGCATTAATTGTCGACCATCTGATGATCCTATTAGAAGAGTAGATGTTTTATATTCGACTTATGTTAAGAAATGAAGAGGTAGACCTAGAAAGACTTTGGTATATTGTATAACAAATTTACCATAATTTATTATAATGAAATGAAAATATGACACTAAATAGGGCGCAATAGAGAAAAAAGATCCATGTAAACTAGCTCTGACTCGTCTCGTTTACACCCCTATGTCTGACTACAGAATTTAGACTAGATTTAAGCTAAAATCAACCAAATTATACTTTTGAGATTTCCAAAAATTATGAAATAAATAAATTATATTTTTTTTGAAGTATTAAATGCCTCGCATTTTAAGAAAACTCAAAACACTCCATATATTATCATAAAAAACACAATAAAAGCTTACATTCAACTTAATTTTGTTATATTTATAAAGTAGGAAGTATTTTAATTATAGTTATAAAATACATTCCTTTTATAACATGCTTTGCAAAGAATGCTTTTGGCCGCGGCGCGAAGAAGAAGAATTAGCTCCAACGTTTGCAACCGCTCAAACTACCATTCCCTTGAAGATCCGGACCCCTCCTCCTCATGGACTCGCTCGATCCGGTCCTCCGCCGATCTCCGCCGCCACCGCAACGCTCTCTCCCTCTACGCCCAGATGCTCCGATTCGGTCATCTCCCAGACCCCTTCACCATCTCTGCCGTTCTCAAGGCTTGCGCTCACGCTCCTTCCATGCCGGCCGCCGTCGCCATCCACGCCCAAATACACAAGCTCGGACACCTCGCCAATGTCTATACCCAGACCTCGCTGGTATACCTCTACTCCAAGCTCGATGGGGTCACAACCGCTCAGAAGGTTTTCGATCAAATGCCCGTGCGAAACGTCGTCACCTGGAACTCGATACTACATGCTCACTTAAAAGCTTTAGACATAAAGAATGCACGCAGGGTGTTCGATGAAATTCCGGTGAAAGACGTGGTATCCTGGAATTCAATGGTTTCTGGTTACGCAAAAGCCGGTGAAATGGATCTTGCCGCTGAGCTTTTTTGGGCTATGCCGGAAAGGAACCCGGCTTCATGGAACGGAATGATTAGTGCTTACATTGACCGCAGAGATATGGAGCAGGCAAGAAAGCTGTTCGACGAAATGCCTGTAAGGAGCAACGTATCTTGGATTGCTATGATTTCCGGTTATTCGAGGTGTGGAGATGTTGCTTCTTCAGAAAACCTCTTTAAAACGATGAATACAAAGGACATATTTTCATGGAATGCAATGATTTCATGCTATGCGCAGAATGGCTTCTCAAAAGATGCAATTCAGCTGTTCAACAGAATGAGAAAACCTGATACTAACGTTACTCCTGATGAAATGACCTTTTCAAGTGTCATCTCTGCTTGCTCCCAACTGGGAGAATTGAGATTTGGGATGTGGATTGAGACTCACATCAGCTCTATTGGAATTGAGATGGATGATCATCTACGCACCGCTTTTATAGATTTATATTCCAAATGTGGAGGCATGGACCAGGCCTTGAAACACTACCACCATCTCAGGAAGAAGGATTTAGTATCATACAGCGCTATGATATTAGGATTTGGCATAAACGGAAGGTGTGATGAAGCTATCAGTTTGTTCAATGAGATGGTGAAATCAAGGATTGTGCCAAATTCAGCAACTTTTATTGGACTTCTCACAGCTTATAATCATGCTGGCTTGGTGGATGAAGGCCAAATATGCTTTGATTCCATGTGGAGGAAATATTTTGTTTTGCCATCAACTGATCATTATGCTATTATGGTGGATCTGCTTGGGAGGAAAGGAAGGTTAGAAGAAGCTTACCGATTGATTCAGGGGATGCCTATGGAACCTCATTCTGGTGTTTGGGGTGCGTTGCTTCTTGCCTGTAAGTTGCATGGTAATGTAGAACTTGGCGAGATTGCTGCAAGAAATTGCTTTGTGTTGGCTCCTGATTCCAGTGGTTATTATGTTATCTTGGCAAATATTTATGCTGAAGCTGGAGAGTGGGAGAAAGCTAAGAGGCTAAGGAAAGTGATGGTGGAGAAGGGATTAGCTAAGGTGCCAGGGTGCAGTTGGGTGGAGCCTAAGCGATCGTGTGGCATACTTTGAGGGAAGATGTCCTCTTTGAAAGAGCATCATTGATTGAGCTTTATGAGCATTGGGTGCGTAATGAACTTAACTCACCATCGATTTCCATATTATTTCTTACGTTTTACAAGTTTCACAATGAGATGATTGTAGATAGGTTTGTTATAGTATCTTGGGTTTCAGCCGTATATTATGATGTAAAGATATTTATCGTAGTTTAAATAAATATTAGTTTACAAATATCAAGTTTGAGTCCAATAAGAAGCATAATAAATATTAAAAGATGAATCTTAGTTTACAAAATATAAAATAAATCAATCAAGTAAAAACTTTTAAATTGATGGATGTTTTTCTTATCTGAATGTTTAAAAGGCTTGTTGGAGATTATATTTTGGTGTTAATTTTTACTAAAATTATAAATTAAGACATTATAAGAAAAAACACCACTAGACATTATGCTTTATATATTTTAATGATAATGTTTATCAATTTCATAAATTTTTTATAAGCATTTGACTTTCTGAAAGGCATTTCAAGCCAATCATGAAATATGTCAGATGTTTTAAGATTTTTTTTTGCCTCTTCTTCTACTCTGATCTTAATATGATGTTGGATTTTTTACATGATCTTAATAAAGAGCTTGGTGTGACAGAGACCGACATCAGCCATATGATACTGAGTATTTTACCTATGTCCAGGCTTTCCATCACACTAGGGCCACTAAGATTTTCCAAGGCTTGTAAGCATAGAATACACATTTACGATAGAAAACCACCGTTTCTTCCAATGTGATCCCCCAAGAGCCTCCAAAGGAACCCTTTATTTATTGTTGGCATTGCAGAGTTGTTTCTGCCCTTGGTTATCGCAGTGTCTTAGCGCTGCTTGTATGATGCCACAATATTGCTTCTTCTTCATGACCAACCTTGTTATTTCAAGTCCGTGTATAATAGACTTTTTAATATGATCAAATAAGAAACCCCTTTAATATTAGAGTTACACTTAGGTTGATGATTTTATTATTTGATTTAAATATTAAGTATTTTTCAATCATGGTTGTTAATTCTTGTATTATACCACAAGTTTTTTTTCTAAAAGAATGTAGGTAATGTCCAAAAAGAGAACAACAACCATATTTTATCCTTGTAATTGTCTATATTAATTAAAAATAAGTATCACTTAGTGATGAAAAGGAAAGTATGATTTACCAAGCTAAAATAAAAGAGCTTAGGGTGAGTTCAATTTAATGGCGAGCTTTTGCTAAGGTATGTATTGAAATAAAATATATAGCATTTATGGTTTCTATAACTAACATTTACCTCTTGTTATTAGACCATCCTAAAAATTTTTTTCCTTCTCCTATTATCCATGTCATTTATGGCTAAAGTTTGACATTTTGTCACGTTAAGTTGGGATTAATCTATAATTTTTGTTTCTTCATCATGCAATATTGTGCCATGAACATTTTCTTCTTGAATTTGGGTTCTAAATTATTTTTGCATCTAATATTTCTTGTGATACTTAAAGTAGATTATACTTTTTGTAATTTTAGAACTTCCCTCAATAAGAGTTTTGGCCACATGAATTGGGGTAGTAGGTGCAGTGGGTCTAATTTAGACTCATGAGAGAAATTAGAATTGACTTAGATTGAGAAGGGGATAGCTTACATCATTCTATTAAAGGGAATAATGAAAGGATACCTTTAAGATTTGTCGTTCAAATATATTGACTTAATTTCATCTATCTATCATAAGTTAAATGATGTTTATTTTGGATAATTGTCAATCATTATCACAAACATTAGTTCTAGAATTTAAGTCATTAAATATTTTCAATCATTCGGTCAAATAAGAGACTGTTTTAACTCTAAATTATTAATTACCCATTCAATTCTTTATCATGATGTATAGGACAATATTTTATTCCTAATAATTCTTACATTCTTTATAGGTCAGATTAGTTATTTTAAAGTTATTATCAGTTGATAGAGTGTTCATCCATTAATGCTTATCATGTCTTACTAAGCTCCTCTTGGCAAAAGTAATCCTCTTACAGTCATCCATTTTTCATTAGTTAAAAGAAGTTTTTCATTTAAAATAATTGGTCCAAGAATTTATTTGAGTCATAGACATCATCATAAGTAGGTACTTCAACTTTAGCCCCCTAAGATAGATCATTAAAGCTTCTAATATTTTTACCGCGGTTAGCTTTATTTCCTTCGTTCTGATAATTTGATGATCTCTTATGTGACTAATCTTCCTTAGTACAATGGTTAGCTCTTTTACCTTCATTCATATAAGTTGGTGATCTCTTATGTAGTTGTTCTTCCTCGTAATCAAGAAAAGAATCATTCTACTGCATACTATATGAGTAAGTGTGGATAGAATTTGAATTGTAATATTTTATAGATGATTCGCAAGGGATTGCACTCATTTCTTAAGTTCTTAAATTTGGCTATTCTTTTCCTTTGAAATTTTGTAGGTCTTTAATTATTCTTAAGCATATTAAGATCTATGATATCTATTAACATGGTCAATTTTTTAACTTAAACTTAAAATATTGATTTAGGTGTGATGCAAGTAATTTTTTTAAATAATGTAATAAAAGAGAAGAGAGGAAAATGAGATTTTGATAAGAGGCATAACAAAAATATTGTACAAATTGATATTCAAAATTAAACTTTGGGCTAAGATTATTTTTTTGTGAAATAGGGCATGGAGCTGGAGGGGTATAAGACCTATTACATCTTAGGTTATCTTTAATATTACTTAAAGAAAAAGTATTTAACTTCAGAAAACACCAAACTTAATACTCTTATATTCTTATGAATGCAAGTTTAAATGAAAAAAATGCATAACTTCATTAAGCATTTAGTTTTTAAGAAAATAAGCTATCATAAGTTAATCCAAATCAACTTATAGAGTTAACCAATAGCATTCACAAAAAAAAAAAATTATGTAATTAAAATTTAATTTTGCATCAAGATTAGGGTTATTTTGAAAAATGGAGCACTTTCCCACCAGTCTATTCACTTCAAAAAAAAAGTAACTCAATTTAGATGAATTTGAGCTGTTTTATCTTGGCTCTATATAGCATTCACAAAAAAAAAATAATAATGTAATTAAAATTTAATTTTGCATCAAGATTAGGGTTATTTTCAAAAATGGAGCACTTTCCCGCCAGCTATTCACTTAAAAAAAAAAAGTAACTCAATTTAGACGAATTTGAGCTGGTTTGTCTTAGCTCTATATAGAATGAGTTTAATGAAGGCTAAAAGAGAGAAATGGGTTAGAAATCTTAGTTTTGGAGATATATAGTTATGATATGGATCTTTTGATGTAGTTTTCCATGGTTTAAGGCCATATGGAGTGATGAAAATAAGGCTAGGTATATAGAAGCCTGGTCTATGCCAAGAGCTTTCACCTAGGGTATGGGTTGGTTTCAACAGTTAAAATTGTAGATGTTTGATCATGGGAGATGGCTTGCGTGTCGAAAACACGATGAAGATGCATAGCTGAAACTTTGACAAGATTAATTATGAGTATAAGAGATGGCTAATTAATCCCATCAAGGATGGTCAAGATAAGCCATCAAACACAAATAAAAATAGAATAAATTTGAAAGGAAAAAAAAAATAGCATTCAAAGCAATATTATTTTATTACATATCAACGCTATTTATAAAATTTATATGAGCCGTTAAACTACCTTGATCCAAAAAGAAGAGCAAAAAATTTTTACATTATTTTCATTATCAATATTCATTAAATAGCTATCCCGTATATGTTCCCCAAAATAATTAAAACACCAAACTTCTAAATTCTAAATCTAAAATTAAAATATTAAAATATAAAATTTAATTTTTTGTTCATGATTGATCTCTTAGTCTTTTATGACAAGTCTTAATTGAGCACTCGAACTCCTACTACAGCTCTTATAACTAAACTTCTACAACATCACAAATTATCTAAGTTTATACGCAGTTTAAGACCAATATCATTAGTATTCAATCATTTCATTTTATTTTATTTTATTTATTTTGTTCCCATCATATTCAATCATTTGACCGCATGACTTCTAATAGAAGTTAAAAGTTTGTCCAACATGGTTTCTACGTATCCATACAGTATTATTATATATTTTTTAAAAACTCATTACTTGCTCACATTTAAAAACAATACATTTTTAGTGATTTAATGATTCGTAATATGAAAATCATCAATCTAATTAACATACAACCATACCTCACATCCGATTAATTGAATCAATAAGAATTCTTTCTACATAATCAACAAAGTAAACTCAAATCGATTTCACCCTTAGTCCATGTTCAAGAATCCTAGATTAAAGCCTCAACGTGCAGGCAACCATTATATTTATGAAATAAATCTCAAGGATTTTGCTAACCTAGTGATCATTTTCTTTATTCTTAATATGATATTAAATCGAGCAAGGTGTATCAATCTCGTACAGTCAGCACACTAAGAACCCGTAGTCTAAAATATGTGTCAATACCAAAAAACTAGATGAAGATCAAACAAATTTCAGGGTAGGTTCCCTAAATCCCTATCTGGTTCATTCATGTAGGTCACCTATCTTGCTCAGTTAATTTGACTAGAATCAAGCACTGACCATTAATTTCATTATTAATGAGCATTAAGCCAATATGAAATAAAAATAAGAGACGTGTTAAAATAGCCCGCTAACTTTTTGCAAGAGGCCTTTTTAGTCTCAGGGGTCTGTAAAAGTCTCAATTTAATGCTCAAAAATATGAATGGGCTGAAATAGCACTTCAGCCCCAACTTAAAATGTTTGGCGACTACTTTAATATTTTTATGGACTCGGGGACTAAAATAACCTCGTATGAACATTCAGAGGACTATTTTGATAATTTAGTCAAATAACAATTGTAACATGTAACAAGTAATATAAATACATAACAAAAATACAAGACCTGTTATAAGAACCAACATATAATATCATTTTTCATTGTCTTCGCAGATACATAAGTAACAACGAAAATCAGGATTCTAGAGTTTCAAACATATATAATTATTTTTATGAAATGCAATCAAAAGCTAACAACTTTATTGCACACTTATTAGAACAGGACAGAACAGGAAAAAGAAAAAAAAGTGGGATAAATTATATAGTATCAGCAAAATGATCACATAATGTCTCCAGCATCAAAAGAGACATCTTTTATTTTTCATAACTTGGCCAAAATGACTCCAAACTCCAACAAAAATGCGAATAGTACTCATTTGAGTACTCTCAGTAGGGCTCCACAGGAGCTCTGAACTTAGCTCCAGCATAAACTGCCGCATCACCCAGTTCTTCCTCAATCCTCAATAACTGCGCAATAATTGCAATAAAATTTAGCAAACTATATAAAAAAAATACATTCATATTATTATATAGGAATTAAACTTGCCTGATTGTACTTGGCAAGGCGTTCTGAACGACATGGAGCACCAGTCTTGATTTGGCCCTATTTGAAATTATAAAAATAAAACAGATAAAGATTCATGCAGTCTGCAATTATCCAGAAGGAAGAATATGGTAGTGTAGCTAAGGCGTGGAGGATTTGAATAAAAATTTAGTTTTTGAACCTGAATAATTCAAATTTGGTTTGAATAACATTGACAATTTAAATGTTCAATTTTAATGTTAGTTTCAGTCAGATTAAATTTGGAAGATGAGTATACATATCAACTCAATTCTTATGTATTTACATATCCAAGACAAACTTCAATTTTTAAATATAAATCACTGTACGTAATTTGCATTAAAAAGGTGTATTTCACTTTTTAAAGTTAAAATAGGGATAATTTTGATGTGATATGAAAGATTTGGTGGTATGAATATAAAAATCAAAGTTCAGGCGTTAGATATGTAAATACATAAGAATTGGGAGGTATGTATGTAAATACCCCTTTAAATTTTTAAAGATTCATTCTAAATATTCAATACTTAATTTTTAGGAAGAAATTTGCATACATACCATTAATTCCTATGTGCTTGCATATAGAACACCTAAACTTTAATTTTTACATACCACCTCCCCAATGCATGAAAAGGGGTATTTCATTTTTTTTAAGTTAAAATGGTGGTATTTTTATGTGATTTGAAAGATTTGGGCCGTAAAAATGTAAAAAGCAAAGTATAGGTGTTAGATATGTAAATTCGTAGGAATTGAGTGATGTGTATGTCAATGCCCCTAATTTTTAATACCTATTGTTTCCTTATAAATTTTTTTCCTACCTGGATCTATTGTTTCAACCAAATTTTGGCAAAAATTGCCAAAATACTCAAATTGCCCAAAACCAGATTTTAGCCAATTTCAGGTGAATATCTAATGAAATAGAACCAAAATCTAAACTTTAAAGAATGTTTAGAGTTCTGAAAATTCATTCAAAATATAAGCAGGGGAAAAATGCACAGAAAAAGTAACTCACTGTTGCCAAGCCTACGGAAAGATCAGCAATGAAAGTATCCTCGGTTTCACCACTGGAAAAGCAAGAAATACAATTAGCTGGTTATGATAAATAAAATATAAAAAAAAATTACCATATTTTAACGCCTATTACCTCCGATGGCTTGCCATTACACCCCACCCAGCTTGCTTGGACATTTTCACAGCTTCAATACTCTCTGTGACTGAGCCTATTTGGTTCACCTGCCATCAGAAAACAAATAAATTTTAGAATGAACGACCGATTTAGCTTTTGAGTTATTGAAATAGATGAGAGAAATCGATTTAGGTGAAATCATTAGAAAGGCAATCAATATTAAGAAGAGATATTAACATACACACCATCCAATTCCTATGTATTTAGATGTGTAACATCTAAACTTTATTTTTTACATTTATACCGCCTATATCTTTCATATCACATAAAAAATATTACTACTCTAAGAAATTAAAATACATATTTTCTTTTCATGCATAGATAAGATGGCATATATTATATGTAAAAAGTTTAGATATTAGATATGTAAATACATGGTAATTGAGTGGTATGCATGTAAATCTTCCTGTTATGAAGGAATTGACCATAGAAAAAGCACCTGCTGGATACTACCCACTCATTGCTCATAATTTAAAAATACAGTAAAAAAACAATGAAAGCTAAATTTTTATTTGGTCGAGTGTAACTCGAGCAATATTAATCTCCACATAAATATTAAATATAAATATATTGATTTTACGCACAACACGAATGAAAAAAAAAGACTTATTTTAATTTAAGGTTGGGATAAGTGTTTAAATTGTATTTGTAAGATGCTATTTTAGTCCCAAAATCTATAAAAATGTTAATTTAGTCCTGAAACTTTTTAAATAGGGTTCAAAATAGTCCTCATTTAGCCTTATATATTAAAAGAGTCTATAAACTAGTTTGACACTTTTATAGTCTCAGACTAAAATGGCCTTGTATAATAGTTTGGGGACTATTTTGACAGTTTACTTAAATTACATTAGATTCAAATAAGCATGGATCATGCCCTAGAATGAAAATCAAAGAATGAAGTGGAGTTCAGTACCTTCAAAAGAAGTGCGTTGCAAGTTTTTTCTTGGATTGCCTTGGCAACACGCTGCAGAAATGAACCAAAAATTCGCATATATAAGATTAGACATTTTGGAAACCCCCAAAACTTTCACTTGGGATGCAAATAATTACAGTGGGGTTAGTGACAAGGAGATCATCTCCAACAATTTGCACATGCTGACCAATCTCCTCAGTCAATTTTGCATAATGGGTCCAATCATCCTGATCGAATGGGTCCTCGATGGATACAATTGGGTATTCAGATGCGAAGGATTTGTAAACCTCCTTAAGGCTATCTCCTGATATCTTCTGAGAACCATCATTGTTCTACAAGATGAAACAGCAACAAGTCAAATAATAAAAAGGAGAGCAGGGTAGGAATATAAAAAGCGAGTGAAGTGCCAAAATAGTCCTCGACTATGTACATGGGTCATTTTAGTCCCAAACTCTATAAAAGCGTCTAATTACTCCCTAGACTTTTTTAATATGTGCTGAGATGATCCCGTGAAGGGCTATTTCAGCTTTGATTAAAAGAGTTTGGGGACTAAATTGACATTTGTATAGAGTATGGGATTAAATGAATCTCTACAAGGGCTCGGGGGGCCATTTTGACATTTTTCTCTAAAAAAAGATGATGATGTTGAGAACAAACATGTAAGAAAATACACTAAGCCAAATCAATAAATAGATATAATTAAGTACCTCCTCCTTAAAATTAAGATCATAAGTCTGATCCTTATCGCCATAAAACTCTGAGGCAGCAACATCCATTCCAATGACAACCTATTGATGAAAACAAGAAAAAAAACAAAGCAATTGATAAATCAGCTGAAGCTTTAACGCGCATAGAAATCAGTCTGAAAAAAAGGCACGACTTAAAAACTGTACTTTTCCAGTATAGCCAGCCTTAGCAATAGCAGTCTTCAACAATTCAAGACCCTCCTTGTTCTCCTGTATTTCCATTAAATGCCAGAAGAAAAAAAATCACGCTCCCATCGAGAAAAATATAAAGGGGAAACAATAAACCCTAAACCCTAAACCCTAAACCCTAAACCCTAAATTCTAAACCCTAAATCCTAAAAAAGGGAAGGTGAAAGACATCAACCTTTATTATAGCAGGTAGAAGCGTTTATTTGGCAAAAAAAAATAAAGATGAATTTCATAAATAACAAATGGTGATTGATACTTCCAAAACAGCTTGAATGAAAATAAAGTGAGTCCTTAAAAGCAGGAGTAATGTAGTTATAATACATTTTTTTTGTGAACGCCTGAATGATGGGCAAGCTTACAACAATATAATATGCCTGAGAAAATAATTGCAGACTATTCATCTAAAAACACCATACCTGAATATTAGGTGCAAAACCACCTTCATCCCCAACATTTGTGGCATCCTGACCATATTTCTTCTTAATTACGGCCTACATGAGCGAAGGTAAAAGCCATCAGGAAAGGTAGAAGTAAAATGCAGCAGGAAAGCTTAAAAATGACACATCTTTCACCTTTAGATGGTGATATACTTCAGCGCCCATCCTCATGGCTTCCTTGAATGAGGTTGCTCCAACAGGAAGAATCATAAATTCCTGAATAATGAATAGTCACAACAGCCATAAAAGATGGCATAATTAGGAATCTTCATCAAATATTGCATAGAGAAAATTCTCCATAAAAAAAACAGCACAAGATTGCGCACAACAAATGGCAGCAAAAACTTAAAATGATACTATGATGTAGCTACCTGCATGGCAAGCTTGTTTCCGGCATGAGACCCTCCATTAATAACATTGAATGCTGGAACAGGCAAAACCAGATTCTTGTTTCCAGCAAGATTGGCAATGTGCTGCAGAGAACAGATTATAAGGTTGACTACTTGACCAACAAAGAAAGATAAAGTACTAAAAAATATAAGGGAAATTTACATACGTAGCACAAAACTCTATGTATTACATATCTCATACCTAAACTTTCATACTACATGCATGGCACTTTGGTATTTTATGCCCCAAAACAAAAAGAGATAATTTCACCAACCTGGTAGAGAGGAATCTTCTTCACTGAAGCTCCAGCTTTGCAAACAGCAAGAGACACCGCCAGTATGGCATTTGCACCGAGCTAAGAGTTTTATGGATATTAAATCATAAACTTAATTAATTTTTAGGAAACTCGTACAAGAAAATAAATTAAAACAAAAAGTTAGTAAACATTTTGGCACCTTTTGTTTGCACCAACCCCACTGGTTAGAGGTCCCATCAAGCTCTTGCACCATGAAAGTATCAATCTGTGTTTGTTCTGTAGGATCCTATATAAATCAACGAATATGCATCAGAATCCAATATGCACTTTCCATTAAATAGAAGCTGATAACTAAATATACCTTGCCAATCAAAGCTGGACCAATGATGGCATTGACATTCTGAACAGCCTATAAAAATGCAAAGCAGAAAACACAAAAGATCAGTAGAAGTACTCTTCCAATTTTGCTAAGGTAAACAAAGAAGCATATTTTTTAAAAATTGAAAAGGTTCTAGGATATAATAGAGATCTAAGAAATTTCATATGGAGCATATTTGGGTATAGGAGAAAGATTAGATAGGTTTAAGCAAGCAGAACAATAAATACTAAAAAATAACATGGAACTTTCGCCAAAAAATGTTTTCATAAGGATTTAGGAGTGTATTAAGTTTTAATGTTCAGATCTAACTCGTGCCAAAACTTCCACAATAAAGTTAGTCTACATAATGATGCCAGTAAAAAACAATGTTCAAAAATTTTTTTAGCATGCAATTAGTATATGAAAGCAATATGCCAGAAGAATTGGAATTGTTTTAAGTATCATGCCCCTACAAGTTTGCTGTAGACTTCTGTAAGCAACAAGATGCAAGAAAATACTATTTAGCCCAGACTTTAAAAATGAAAAATTGAGAACCAAGGAGTTTTTCTTTGGCTAAGTGATGCATAATTTGAGGCAAATTGAGGCGTAAGCCTCCAAAAAAGAGAAAATAACACAAAAAACAATTCATGATTATGATAAGCCATTTATAGGCTGATTTAGTTTATTATAAAAAAGAAATAAACTAAAAATCTTATTCTTAAATATTGATATATAAAAAATAGAAGTTTGAAATGTGATTTTTAAGCAAATAACCACCCAAAATTTAAATATTCCATAATGTTTAAGATCCATTACGACTTAATCCTTACTTCTATCATATTCGGAAGAAGTATCCAATTTATTATCAATTAACACAACTTTAAAAAGTTCTGCATTCACTACAATTTCGTACTATCAATTAATCTAAAATCCAATATAATTTAAAATAAAAGTATAAATTAATAATATAACCAAGTAATTATATTGACCTTTTTGAGGTATTATATTAGATATATTTGTACACCCAAAAATATTATGCAAAAATCTCGAGACAATCAAACAATCCAGATTACAAAATAAAAATTACAAGACATAATCAACCCGACCGGCTGAAGAGCAACCATCCAACTGACAACTAGCTGATCGAAGAACTGTTGATCGACGACCAAAGGGCCACCCAGAGCCAATAAGAGAAGCATCCACGCCAAAGACCACATAAATACAGAAGTCGTTCGGAATTTCATCTAGACGGATCTCATCTATCAGTGCAGCCTACCACTCCTTATTATAGAAATGGGACCCAATTCGCACATAATAGGGTGAAAGACTTTTGTTAAAGTCAGGAGATCAATTTAACATTTGTTTCAGAATAGCACACCAAGACTAATGGTTAAGCAGAAGCCGCCAATAAGATAATCCTTAACCTGTGGAAGAAGAAGGTCAAAGGAGCTAAGGAGAAATGGGTCGACAACCTTCCCATCGTCCAAAGGGTGATCAGAACCACACCATTGACCGTGCAATTGGAAAAACATCTTTTATGCTATCATACAAGATGGAGGTCATGATACCAATAGAGTACAACCATCACAGCCATCAATTAGAAATGACATCAGCTTTCGGTGAGGATGATCAGGCCGACTAGCAAGAGGCGAATAATGAAAGGCAGAACTTATGTTGGATCTAAAAAAAGAAAACTGGACCAACTTAGCCCTTCGAAGGGAAGAAGTGAAGAGCGCACTGCAAGATACTACAACAAACATGTCCGAGAGAAGACCGTCTTGCCTTGAGATCTTGTACTGAAGAGAGCGTCGACACAGCAGCGAGTGAGCAGGGCAAACTCGACTAGACCTAGGCCGGCCCGTTCATAGTCGATCAACAGGTTACCCCAGGAGCAAACAAGCTAAAGAATTATATACTGGCGGGAAATCCCTCATACATGAAGCGGAGATGACCATAAATGTTTCTTTCGTTAGAAATTTTTTATGTATCTCATCGCAAAAAATTAATAAAAAAGAACTGGTTTTCATTCCATTTCTATGATTTTTACCGTGAAAATGTGAAAATTGTGAATTAGCTAATTAAATGTGCGACTTCATGATCAAATAACACTCGGTGAACTCGAGGAGTTCATGCAATTCAACATGTAGCCAACACTAAAGGAACTCGATCTTAAGAAAGCCGACGGCGACGCCAATCACGTCCAACCGACATAATACAAAAACTAGCTTGCAATACTCATACGTCCAAGACTTCTCCCCAAACTCGAATCAGATAAAGCTCCGGAGGTGGTTCCCCGCCAAATAGTGATAAGATCCACAAACTGTATCGTGCAGATCTCCCTGGAAGCAAGTTCTGAGTGTGTGGTATCGATTCGACCGAGCAAACAAGGCAGGAGTTCTATGAACTTATCTCCAAACTCGAGTAGGATGAAAATCCTAGAGATGGTTTCTTGCTCAGTAGCGATAAGCTCTGTGAATGGTATTGCACAAATCATCCTAAAACTGAGCCTCAGTGATACTCTATCTGGGGCAGAGATACTACCAACCAATCGAGATTTGGGAGGTGTATGACATGAACCAAGCACCAATATCTTAAACAACTACGACTCAAACCATCCAATCAGTCACAAAAAGCAAGGGCCAACAATGATGCAAAGCAGTCGATTGACACCCAAAATCCAAGGCTCGATCCTCAACGCTCAAGCATCACAAACATATGTTTTTCAATTGGAATCAAATAGAACTCTAAGATAGTTCCTTGCCCAAAAGCGATAAGCTCCGCGAAGGGTATCGAGCAAACTATCCCAAAGCCGAGTGCAAGTGTGGTGATCCGACCGAGATGATAAGGTAGGGGGAACTATCAAACGGATCGAGCACCTAACATACTAAGAACGACTATACATCACACACATTGCAAACAATATACGATAAAGTAAAAAAACTGTAAAAGTAAAGCGACGTAGATTTCAAAAAAGACAAAATTTTCATTATCAAAAGTTCGTACATGAAGTTTTCTTTACATAACTGATAAGTTTGATGGCGAAATACAAACAAAAAAAAGGATTTCAATTAACAAAATTTTAGAAACAAATTTTCTTTACATAAATGTTAAGTTCGATCAGCGAAAGCCAGACAAAAATTTTTCTGTGTACAGAAACAAGAAAAGAAGAAAAGAATAAGCAGCAGTCGAGATGTCTCATTGCCACCTCCTTCGCCCACTTTTGAGGATTCCTCACAATAGTTCATCGGATCAAGAAGAAAAGTAGATAGATGCTCCAGATCATCCCATTTCAGGTCAACCATGCCCTCTACAAAACTACGAGCTGGTCAAGGATATGCCCACTCGGAGCTGCTGGGAAAGAACCCTGACATGCTCCTCAATGGTCCCATTCCAGCCTCCTCCACCTTTAACTTCTTATTCTCCTCCACAGCCACAATGGTCTCCTCATACTCTTTTATCTCTCTCATTTGACTTTCGGAGGAAAACTTTAGCCTTTTCTCCGTCCAGATGACTCTTTACTCAACCTCTCTCCTCTAGACGATCACTTTGATCATCAGCTTCTATGCAATGGCTTTCTTCTCTTCCATATGGCAGAAAGCCCTCTCCTGGTAATGGTCGGCCGACCACGCCATTAAATGGAATCGGTCGCTTCTCTAACCAAAGTTCATTCCTCCCAAACTCTTCATGAGTTGCTCAAAGAGTCGGACCGAACGACCTTGACTAAGAAGCAAAGGTAATTCGCCACCACGACGTGTATCCATTTATCAATCCCTCTCGATAACCACCAAGGAAAAATGCTCAAAGTAACTTGGGCAAACATCAGAGCTCTTCCCCATGGAAGAAACCCTCCTAAGGGGAGAACCCTTTCATTTTTTGTCGAGGGGGAGGAAGCGGGAAGATGTCTTTGATGAGGGCCTTCCCTTCCTGATGCGGAGTATCACCCTCTAGTTGGTCAAACTCAACCTCGCCATTCGCATCAGTATCGTCATCAGCCTTGATGTTGGAATCCGATAATTAATAAAGCAATGGTCGGCTCGCCTCCCCTCTTGACTGCACGTCTATAAAGGATACATCGAGCGATTTGGTTTCCTCACCATCAACGGTCGGGGAGTCCCCTCTTCTTCCTCCTGGAATAAACTTGGAGTCTTTGGAGAATCCTCCCGGCAAGCTCCAGAAGCTCTGAAAAAAACCACTCAGCCAACCACGACCCTCCAAAAGATGAGAAAATAGCTAAGTAATTTCAGAATATAAAAAAGAAATAGATTACATTCCTACCATGCCAGCCCCAACAGGAATCAACAATCTTTACGAGTGAGGAGCAACGACCGGCTATGGATGAGCAACCTTCACGCTAGGCTTTTTCTCAGCCATCTTGGCAGTAGTCTCCGCCCTCACCTTTGCCTCCCGAGCATCATCGATTTCCCATGACCCGTCGATCATGGAGCCAAACTTTTTACTCCACAAGGCCTTAATCAAAACGTCAACATCCAGATACTGATGCAACAACAGCTCTTGGCCCTTCATGTACCCATACTCTCTCACGAACTCCGACCCCCATCCTCCTTGGCAAGAGCCGACCAGAAATTTCCTCTTCAAGTCGTTAATCTTGTTCTCCAACCCAATAAGACGGGTCGAGTACGCACTGAGAACATGGCATAACCATCCCGACCAATCTTAAAGTTGAAAAAATAAGAGAGAAGATCAACCGCACACAAAATGGACAATCATCAAATGAAAATTTTGATCATCTTGATGGTCGCAAGGGACTTTGGCATCAATTGTGTGGGGATGACACTGTACCGATTGAAAATCGACTTAAGTTCCCGGCACAATGGCAGTCGCAGTTCGTATCTCAGTAAGTCTCTGTAAATCACCAGATCATCTCCAAACCTATTGGAAGCCCTCTCATCTGAGCGAGCGGCCCTAAAATTCATAGTCTGATAAAAAACAAAAGCCTCCTGCACAAAAGCTACGTCTGACAAAGAAAAAAGTCAACAACTTGGTCGCAACTATCAGACCAAAGGGTTGGGGAGTTCGCTTCAGGTCCATCAAAAAACAAATGAAAGAAGAATCAAATGAAAGCAAAAGATGAAAGAAAGAAAAACAGTTGAGCGATAGAAACTCAAAGAAAAAACAACAAGCCTGCAAATGAACAACTCAAACCCTATTTACAGGTACCCAGTGGAAGTGGAACCGCCGCACAGTGTTTCAAGAAAAATCGCATTAACACAAAAATCGAGACAGAAGAAACAAAACTTTTTTTTTGATAATAAGGTAATTACACTCGGACCAAAGTCTCACATAAGACACTTTACAGCTAGTCCCCGACCGCCTCAGCCAGAACTAGATCCTTCCTAACTAACCTCAAATACAACATTTGACCGTTGAGCTTAAACCGGCTCTCTCGGTCGGCCTCAGAGTGAGCCCTCTGTATAAAGGCATCTTCTCGAAGTTCAGACACTTCTCAGAGAAGATTGGCTATCTCCCAACGCATCTCCTTCAGTCAGATCAACACCGCGCCAAGATACTCCACTCGTCGAGCCCAAATAACTTCCATTTCATCCAAGCGATGGATCAAGCCTCTCGGGAATATTCGATGTCCCTTGGCCACTTCCTCCCGGATCTCCACAAGATCGGCCAGGCGACTGACCACATACTCGTTATCGACTGGCTCTTGTAGCGTAGGAGTCGCAACTACAATTAGATCTTGGCCGTCACCAACAAGGGGCAAACCCCCAATCCGAGCATAGTCATCTACACTAAACAAAAATGGAAAAGCAAGAAAGAAAAAATTTAAGTCCTCAAACAAAAATCAAAATACGTACTCGGGATCCGATCCAACTTGAACCAAGTAGCCCCTTCTACATCCAATGATGAAAATTTATCGTTCGCTCTTTTCTCTCTATTCGGTTGATCACTCCCACAAACTCCTGACACACCATTCGGTTGAGGAGCGCCTATAATCTATGGCTGCCCAGAACCTCAGTCAAAACCTTAGTCGACAGACCAACCATTGAACCACCTAGCTCCTAGCCCAGATTGAATCCCACGAATTCTCTACCGCCACTTGCTCGGATGGCTTTGGCTTCTTATCAAGTTTCTTCTGTCTTAGCTTGCCTTCTAGCCAGCACTATTTCTTTAATATAAGGGCAGCCAGCATCTTTGTATGGTCGACAGGTTTTGGCATTGAACCAAATACTTTTCTCTATAAGGGCAGCAAAGAAGCCCAGCAGATGCAAGAAGAAATAGACTCAAGATACTGAGAATTGTCCAATACGTCTTATATATAATGGTCATCAAAAGGGAAATTTAGGGAATCTAATCATTGCATTAAATTATGACTATTAAGATTCGATTTATTGATTTAAAAAATTTCTTGTCTTCATCACAGTTGTCACCATTAAAGAGCAAAAAAACTGTGAAACTTAATATATACACAAAAAAATGTTCTGCACCAATCTCGAGATAATTTAAAGGTCAAATTGCAGATGAAAAGTCGCAAGGCATAATGAGTCCCATCGGCTGAAGACCACCCAGCCGACCGAAAGACTACCGATCGACTGAAGGCTAGTGCAACAACCAAAGTATCACCCAAGCCAATAAGAGACTTGCATCCACGCCAACGACTGAACAAAGTTCTAACCCTCTAACAAGCTTAAGTATCAATGTGAGACTCTCTCAACAACTCCTCTAACGATCCAGAAATCATCAAGGAACAAAAATCAGGCAAGCCGACCAACAGCCCTAAGGCCGAAAGACTACCATACTCCAAGTCAACTGGCTTCCCAGAGCGAAGACCGGCCGGTGTCCACACAAAATAGCCGGCCGACTTCCCAGAGTGAAAGTCGACCGTCTTTCATACGAAAAAACAAGCCAAAGAACAGGAATATCAAGTAACGCCCTATTAAAGCACAGGCAAGCATGCAATTTTACACCTTTGGCCCTCTATCTACGATAAATAGGGGGTCCATAGCATATATTAGGGTTTTTTTCCTGCTCCTTTCTAGACTCATAATTTGTAGGGAGAACTCTCTCCCCTTTCACTTCGGAAACCCCTCACTTTCAATATATAAAACGAGTCACATAACCCAAGAATACCCTAGTTCGCCCTTACGGGGCAAGTCAATGTGAGCTCCTTCATTCTTCTCACTCTCTATCTCTCTCTACCTTTCCCCTAAAATTTCTACCTCTCTGATGGTTGGGCATGCCTCACAGGACAAATCTTGATTCAATAATATTATATATAATATAATGTAATATAATATATATTAATAAAATAAAATAATATAATTTTTTTTAAATAACTTCATTGAGGTGTTGCCTCAAAACATCCCGACTCAAGACAATTTTTTTTGTGTGCCTTGGCTCGAGGCGTCCCAAGATGTAAGCCTCGAAAAGTTTTTTTAAAACAATGAATTATACCATCGGCAATCACAAAACCTGATAAAAAAAAGCTTACTTTTGATTATAAGGTTTTTTCTACGAATTCTCAGAGAAAGCAACACAAAAAAAAAAACATAATATATAAAAAAACCAGCAGGCAGGAATGAATATTAGTTAAGCTGATATTTGCATAAGAGTGAGACTAACCTTAAGAACGCCCTTTCCAAGATATTCAGATCCTCCATCTCTAAGTTCCAAAGCTTCATATATACCTGTGCAAGAAAAAGAGCGAAATGCATTAGATCAACAAGATCATCGTATCAGATCATGGGTTTCTCAACGCTTTCCCGGCACAATGGTGAAAGTTCATAATTTCTCCCCTATCTAGGCAGCGCATCCAAAAATCAATTTTCAGAACCAAAACATAGCAACCATGCACGCCAAGTTACATAGCCATAACCTGACGCTGATCTAATATGTTGCTTCAATCCCTAGGCCCTTTCCGCAGATGAGCTAGGGGAATAATAAATCCAAAGAAAAAAATGTTTCCCAACAGGAAGACCTAAAACTCTCTACTACAAATCAGCGGCTACAAAATCATGAGATCGACGAAGCAAAAGTTGATCGTTTTCCAACCAAAAAAAGTAAGCAAATCCGTGGTAAGGTATCAGATACCTGTAGAGGCCCCACTCGGCACTGCAGCTCTTGCAAGGGTTCCATCAGTGAGGACAACATCCGCCTGTTAGCACAATCAAAAATAAACTTTAAAAATTACCCAATACAAAAGATGAGCTCCTAATCCTTAAGATCAAGACCCAGACAAGCAACATCTCCCAAATCACCTCACCCAAAATCACTAGGAAACCAATTTTACTTCCAGACCGTAACAGATCAACACAGCAAAATCTAAAAAACGATCAGATCTGATAACTCACCTCAACAGTAGGATTTCCACGGCTATCGAAGATCTGCCTGGCCTTGATTGATGCAATCTTCGCCATTGCTCTTTGAAGGAATCGACAAAGAATCGATAGCAGGAGAAGGATGCGAAAGCAGTATGTGCTGCGGCGCGATTATGGGGTCTATTATATAGAAGAGAGGTGTCTCAATTTCTGTGGCTTTGAGCTCGAGAAACCGATCGCGGCCGTCGTATTTGAAGAGCTGGCGGATTCATTGTGGAGGCTCGGAAGAGAACAAGGGGCGCGGCACTTGTGGTCCATTCCTTTTCTTAGGCATTGCAAGGCTATAAAGGGAACCGGACTATCGAAACCCAGCACGGCCCCTGGTTGTTTAGGGGGGTGCCACTGTGGGTGGTCAAATCCTAAGAATTGGTTTTCTTAGGGAGCACTTAGATTTATACTAGTCGATTTCAATGTTTTTAAATATCTAATACATGGACTCCAAAAAAAAAAATCAAATATATAACTTTTACTTTTTTTATATTTTCACCACTAAAATTTTTGTCACATTAAAAATATCATCATTTTAATTTTTGAAATGTGAAATATAAATTGTGTAAAAGGGAGCACTTAGATTTATACTAGTCGATTTCAATGCTTTTAAATATCTAATACATGAACCCCAAAAAAAAAATCTAATATATAACTTTTATTTTTTTTATATTTTGACCACTAAAATTTTTGTCACACTAAGAATATCATCATTTTAATTTTTAAAATGTGAAATATACATTATGTAAAAATTAAAATTTAGACATTAGATATGTAAATACATAAAAATTAAATAAAATGTATGTAAATCTTCTTTTTATTATTTATTAATAATGGATTTATATTTACACCACTCAAAATATTTTAATTTATATATGTAACATCCAATGCTTGGCATATTAGTTGGAAACAAATTTGTGTTGGATTCGGAGGTGTAACTGAGACAAGCCGAGTTATGAATTGGTTTAGGCTCAGCTTGATAAGTGGCTCTCAAGTTGAGCTCGAAAAGCTAACAAGCTAAGCTCAAGCTAGCCCCAACTCGACTCATTAGCTCATAAGTCTTGTTTGAGAAAATATTAATAAATTAAACTCAAAATAATACTAACTCTTTGCAACTAAAATATCCTTTCTCGTATATTATCTTTTTACACAATAACTTCTATGCACCCAAAAATAACAAAGCACACAAAAATAAAGAGGAATTTCCCAGGCTATTAGGCTGTCTCATGCACTAGAGAAAGACCTATGTCATGATCTCTATCACAAATACATGAACCTTAATGACAGAAAAATAAGAAAAAAATGAAAAAAGAAAAAAGAAAAGAAAAGAAAGAAGTATCAAACATTCACTAATTGATATATGGATTTGGAGATAGAGCAATTTGTAGCACTCTTACACATAATACTGAAATCTTATTACTACAACAGAAATAAAGTAAACACAAAGTTTCTAAAAGCGACATGATGGGTTAATTCATGATTGACTAATGTCGTCCACTATTTGCTCTTTCAAAGTTGTCATCTCCGATGCACCGTAAAAATAAAGTTTCTAAAAGCGACATGATGGGTTAATTCATGATTGACTAATGTAGTCCACTATTTGCTCTTTCAAAATTGTCATCTCCGATTCACGTTCACCCTCTCAAGTGTGTGCATCTTGTGAATCCATTTCTAGTTGTGGTATGGTACGCCTCACATGGAATTCGAATGCTTCAAGTGGGATCTAAAGAAAATCATCTTCTGTGACGGCGAATTCTGCATCCAATTTGGAGTAGTTTCGTCGAATGAAATTGTGTAGTGACATAGTAGCCTCTACTATCTGCATTTGCTTCGTAAATTGGTAAGTCGACATATCACGTAATATAACTCACCTCTTCTTCTAGACTTGTGACATAGTAGCCTCTACTATCTGCATTTGCTTCGAAAATTGGTAAGTCGACATATCACGTAATAATATAACTCACTTCTTCTTCTAAACTCCGAAGGCTCTTTCGATCACATTGCGCAAGGAGAAGTGTCATTTATTAAAAAATTTCTTCTTGCCTCGTGTTATCCCATTTGATCTTTCAAAATCGGCGATGTGCTATTTCATATATGGATAAGGCTTGAGATACCCCCTTTGTAAGGGATTTCTGATATCGACCAAATACTGTTCAATTATGGTAATTAGCAATGGAAAGAATAGCAAACATAATTTCTATAGATATGTACCTGGAGGTTGGTACGGGAAACTGTGTCTTTGGTTTCTAGTAGCAAACATGAAAACATGACTATCGTGTGCGCTCTCTTCCCATCCAACCACTAGAAAGGTAAAGAACATGTTGAAATCACACACGACCATCACATTTTGTGTGGGGGAGCCACAACGTCCGATGTAGGCGACCTTCGCTGTACCAGATAGTTGTGCATCGATAAGCGTTTCGTCAATAGCTCCAATACAGTCTCGACGTTCAAGATATACTCTTTTGGCATTTCACATGTATATCATTTTCATGCTTGAATGTTATGTTAAAGGAATGCCTTGAATAACGACATATATCGAGGGTCATTTGCAATATGTATGGGAATGAACTGGAATATTGGATCCTCGAGCTTAACTACCTTGCACGCTAAACTCAAAAGAGCATTCAAACCAACCGAGAAACACCTGCTGATGGTTAATAATGAATGTTGAAATCGCTCCACATCTATTCTAATGAATTCATTTTGGGATAAGATATACAACGTTATTGCCAACACCTCTTTTATCATTGTTCTTGTTAAGTCATGCAACCCTTTAAGATTTTGGAGTTCATTAAGCAAGTCAAGAAATATCTCTTATGAAACGTGTTGGAGAACTGTGTAGGGTGACCCTGTAATAACTCACTGACCCATCTACCCCTAGTATGACCCGATATTATACAAGGGGTTCAATCGACGTATGTAAGATAGTAATGATTAGAGCAACATTACGGTTGTAGTTAACTTGTTCTTCGTCCATACTACAAAATAAGAATAAGGATAATTTTTTAAACTTGATAAATAAGAACTTAAGTCAATTTAAGCGATGCATAGAATGTAGGATGGTGGATATAAAAATCAGTGCATAATAGAATAAAAGACATATGATTGTGCCTCCATGGAAAAAAGTAAAGAGTACATGATAGAAATATTACAAAGATTGATAGGAAATAAAATATGTAGTGTATGAAAGAGCATAAGTAATCGAGTCGGGATTCCGGGTCCAACTTCATACAAAACTATCTGAGGGTTGGGTCTCCTAGCAACTTCACATAGTTTATATAGATCTGTTTTTCTGCCCTAACACTCAGATATGTATTTCGGAGTCAAAAACACTCTTCATTTGAATTGTCCTGTGAGAAAGCAGACTTAACTTTGCAGGATTTAAGTAGTGTGTCTATGGTGCATCTGATGAATGCGGCTTCTTTTTTCTTTTCGTCCACCCTGGGATGCTTTGACACACTTGTGGATTGAACATTTATGTAGATTGGGCTAGGATCTTCTCTCGATTCACCTATCTGCTTGGTTTTCATGTTTTTGTGGTAAAGCTGGTAAACCCCTACTCACTTGGGGTGAAAGCATGAGCTCTCATTGCAACAACTCCACTGAACATGTCATCCAGCTTCTCTTCCAAAACTGGATCAATACCACTAAATTTGAATTTATTGGTTGTCGGCACTGCCTGTAATAGATTACAAATTTTATTAGCAAAACCATTTTAATGTGATAATTGATGCAAGAAGAAGTAATCTTAAGTATGTATTTACCTATAATTTCTAAGCCAATCAATTTTCTAGTGCATCAATTATTCGCTTCACTAGATCCTAACTCAGTCCCACTGATTCCCTTTTGAGTTCTTTCCATATTTTAAAATCCTTCTTTAATTGATCTCACTTGATTTTGAGTTTCATCTGATCGTAATCCCTTCCAGTCAGTTCTTAGAATTTAATCATAAGATTTTGCAACGTTCTTTATTAAAATAGGTGGTGGGTTTATTTCCCAGCTATACCTCTCTCAGACAAAGATCACAAAATATAATAGTGACCTCCCTATCTCACATGGTCGATGATCCGACCTCTTTAGCAAAATATAATAGTGACCTCCCTATCCCACATGGTCGATGATCCGACCTCTTTAATTTTACTCATTACGTACTGTCCTATAAACAGATTAACATAAAATAAGTTTTTTTTTCATAACACAACATTCCCTAGAAAAACATATAAGAAAACTTCAAATAACAAATCATAATAAAAAAAATTTGTCATAACATAAAAATGAAAAACACAATTTAGACATCCTTAAAAATAATTGTGAAGCAAATGCTATAACATTTTGAAGCATCCAACATCTCAGTGGTTTATTGCCACATATTTCAAAATCAATACATCTCAAATCGTAGGACATTTAAAACACTGCTTTCATTCAATGATATTATGCTTTCAAAGTGAGTTCTTGGACGAGAAAATAGCAAAAACTTAGGGGTATTCAGATTGCATACAAAACAATTATTATGGCAAATCAATTGTATCCATTTTAATGAGACCTTTAAGGTCTTCATGCAACTAATCAGAATAATACATGTTAGGAGAATTCATTTTGGCGCTGGCTTTGCCAAACCAATTAGCACAAAAATTTCCTTCATGATATGTGTGAGACATTTTATAATTATCCTTTTGTAAGAGTTATGGATATCATGTAATAAATAGAATATATTATAATTATAGTTTTTTCCTCTTTGAAGGATATAATGAGCCTTATGGAGACTCAAACATCATGCTCAAACCAAACGTTGTTAAATTCAAGAGAGAGAGAGAGAGCCAATTCATGGCTAAACTTAAAACACCACACAAATAATTTGAATGAAAATTTAATCAGCCTTCATTGTTGCATTACCACAATATTGTATCATTCATTTTTGCATCGCCACAATCTTTCGGTGTTCATTGTTGCACTTTCTTACTCTTAACTTTTTTAACTAATTGTAGCTATTATTGCAGCATTGTCGCAAATATTTTTCAATTGTAGCCTCCATTGCGACATCACAATTTTATGACCTCCATTATTGCACTCCCTCCCTTTTCCTTAATTTTCTATATCAAGCCTTCATTTTTATATCTCCGTAAAAATTTTCCATTGTTGTAGCATTCATTACAGCATTGTCGTAACTTTGTACCCTTCATAGCTACATTTATGTACACAACCACAATTTCCTTCTCCAAGAACAATGATAACAATACCGACATAGTTTTAATCATCAGTTCTCTTGGAATCAAGATGAAATCTAAATATAACGGGAGAGATGCAAAACATCCATTTAGCATAAGAGTTGAATGCAAATAACTATCTAAAGTGTTTATAATTAATTAGTAGGTTCTCCAAGGGAAGGAGAAAAATTAGGCCATTTAAAAAACATGCAAGTTTAAAATGCACAACATTCATTCATCAATTGAAAGTTAGTAAAAATCAATCTCCATCAAATCTGTCTCCACAATATTTAACAAAGCCCATGAATTCTCCACCATTCTTAGTCACTTTATGCTACAGTGGTGATTCATGAAATTGTAACTACGAGCTATTGAAAGCATAAAGTTCAGCATACATGAGGGAAGAGCCAACAGTATGTTTGCAGATCAAAATCGAATGGATTCCAAAAAAAAAAAAACAGGTAAGTGCAGCCGAAGAAAGCAAATCAAAATTGAATGGATTCCCTTGTAGTGTAGAGCACCAGAAGAAACAAAAAAAAAGGAGACAGACTTTACCTGGTTGAGAATGATTGCAAAGGAGGGAGGGCTAGGGCTGAGATTGCGATTGGTTATGGCGAGGGCAGCGAAGTAACACGTAAGGAAGAAACGCGGCCCTCATGGAACATCCCGTAGGCAACGTTTTTAGCAAATTTGAAACTAGGTTTTTGAAAACACGAGAGAAACACCAAATTCAAACGGCATGACCATGTTTTCAAAACACTGCCCACTCTTATACGCTGCCCCAAACAGACCCATCTTGGCGCAATTTAACCATTAAAAATAGATAAAATTAATATTAATTTCTTAATTTTTAAAGCTTTTAATTTTAAAAAAATTTACATATATACCACACAATACTTATATATTTACATATTTAATACAAAATTTAATATCTATGCTTATAATATTTTGGTTTCAGAGTTTTACGGATTAAAAAAATGTAATTTTCAACTGAAAAAGTTAATAATCACAATTTTAGGTATTAGACATCCAAATCCATAAGAATTGTTGCACGATAAATGCCCCTTAATTTAATATTAATTATTTGCAAAATAGTCAAAATCAAATTCCATAAGTCGGGTCAACATACCCCCCAACAACCATGAATAAAGACCACAGCTGGTGTCTTCCGTTTCAACGACCAAAAATATACACGCCTGCCCGCGAATGACACCTTACCCCGAATGGTCCCATTTCACTCTGTTCCTTAACTCCAATCTTCTCTCTTCATAATCATCAGAACACCAGAACGACAAAGTAATTACCATCCTATCGATTCATTAATCTCTATTCATCAGAACACAGCACGCCAGCCCTAAACAACCATACATAACATTCAAATAAACTTGTAAGTGAAGTCTACTACACATATCTTTCTATAGGTACTAAATATCATTAAGAAAATTAATTCAATTAAAGCAATAATAATGCACAAATTTCCTTCATATAGTATTTGTGCATTATGATTGTTTTAAACTACCTTAGCCGAAATAATTTGTCATTACCAAGAAGAAGACCTAACTAATCCCAAATTGGATAGATTCCTGAGCACCAAGCATCCCAATGAGGCCAACCCAAGCCCGTTATTTGTTCTGCTCCCAGCCTCCTCCACAGCTTCCTCGCAAGACACCGGCTCCTTCACTGTAAGGCAGCCTGTACTGATATTTCGCCGTACGACATCCACCATCTCCGAGCTTGGAATGCGGCCGACGGCATCAGTGACGTAGAAGACGTTCGATACCGCTTGCCCTTTGGTAGAAGAAATCTCAGCCCTCTTCACCAACAATCCGTTCTCCCTGAAAACCCTCGTGACCTCCGAGAGAACCCCTTGCCTTTCCATTGTGCAGATCTCGAGCCGCAAACCCTGGCCTCGTCGATCTATGGCCGCTTGTAAGCACTGCATCACTCTCTGCCTCTCTGCTTCCGAGCTAATGGGCCTCCCATCTGAATGCTTGATGTAGAATTCCTGAACAGAGACAGCTTCAGAAAGATTTTCCAGAAATTTAGGGATTTGAATTCTGGTGGAAAATGATCAAATGTCATACTTGATAAGCTTGATCGGCGTCGGTGCGAACAGTGCCGTGGTAAACGATGTACTCCATATCGGTAAGCGTGCAGACAATGTCGAAGAGGAGTTTAGGGCGGTCGGAACAGTGGACGGTGACAACGGAGTAGCCTCTCTCAACCAAGCTTTGAATTGAAACTGCAGGCGGGGAGGTCGGCGTCTCAAAATCTCGATCGGCCAACATCATTTGATGGAGCCTCCTTTCAGCATTAACGAGAGCCATGGAGGTGATGTTGGTCCGGCCCTGGAGGATGTTGCGGAGGCGGGTCTGGATGCAGGACACTCTGTACGACTCACCTTCGATTGGCTCGCCGGAGTGCTCGTCGGAGACGAAGAGAACAGCGGCCATCCTGCCATTGTGGGTCCAAACACGCGCATCTGAAACCCCGCATTGGAGATCGGCAAGCACTGCGAAGATCTCCGAGAGCAGTCCCGGGCGATCGGCACCGGAGAGTTCCAAAACGGTGAGATTTCCTCGCCCATCGAATTTGTTCGGTTTTCGGGCTTCAAGAGTCTGCAAGAAAAAGCAGGAAAACTCAGTTTGCGAATCCAGAGATTTTGAACAAGGGAACAAGGAAGATGAAAACGGAAAAAAGTGAAAAACCTCTTCGATAAACGAGATAACACTCTCGTCAGTAAGCTTGCAGCCTAACTGATCGGTGACATGAAAGACGTCCATGAGCCATCCTCCATCAGAGGAAAAGTATGCCTTCTTGATTGAAAGATTCAGGTCGCTAAGCACCTGCACAGCCTCCAGCAGGTATCTATGCTTCTTAGCGCTGTCCACCGTAACCAGCGTCGCCGTGGGGAAGACGCTGTTATCTACAACCACCCTGAACACCAAACCAAAGCATCCGAAGCCGTCACACACATTTCTTCTTCAACAGAACAAAAACAACAGAGCGTACCTCGGAGTGTTCATGAGCAGAACAAGCTTCTCGTATTCATCGAGGCAACACGGCCACTCTACCTCCACATCCCGGGCCTTGGCAATCCCGGCCACCATCGTTTGCTATCCTCGGCAAAACGTCGAACACCTCGGGACCTTGCCCGCTTCAGGGGACGACAAGTTCTGTAAAGTTAAGGGGACCCAAATCCGTCTTCAGACAAAGACTCCGATCCTTCTCCCGCCTTCGCATTCTAATTTATGCACACCAATCCACCCTCTTCGCCAGCCCTAATCGGACCCACACTTTCCACGAATCGCAGGGCTTCGCGCCACGTAGGTCGCACTTTCTGTCCTCTCGCCGCGTCTCCAATTCAAGAAAAAATCGTACGAGGATTTCCCAACGGATCGCCGTCCATCACTTCAAATACGGAATCTCAATGGGAAATGAACGGCGATCCTCTCTTTAGCTGCCGTGTGGGCCCCAGCAATGTTTCCGGCTCAGTTTGCGAGCAAACGATTAGCCGACCGGGTTGATGGCCCCTCGACCGCCTGTGCGGTTGTTGGACTGCTTTTGCGTCATTAGAGACTTTTAATTAAGTGTTATGGTATAGTTACGATCATTAAGGTGTGTTAACTGCTAATCATGGAGATCACGTGAGAGGGAGAAGCACGTGCGCCGTCGGCGGGGATGCACAACTGCGGCACGATCGTCTGCCGACTTTAATTACTACCGAGGCAGTCAACCGGTGCGGCAATAACGGTCCCATAAATCCACCGGTGGTTTTTATTTTTAAGGAAAGAACATATTAATTAGTGGAACAGTGGAAGGGTGGTGCAGGGGGTAACAGCACATGATCTCGCATGTTTGCTTAATAATTACGATAGTGGTGGGAGTGGGCATTGAATGCTGCCATCGTGCGCTGCACATCGTTCCCCGTGACATTTCTATGGAATTGAACCGGATTCGACTCCCTTCTCAATATTCTCTAACGCTGATTTTCGAATCCAGATCTCTGATTATTATTTTTGGCTGATGTTTAAATGAATGGTTTGCTGCAAACGGGGAGATGCATGCAAGAAGTGTGAGATTTTAAGTATTAAATTTGAGGATAAAAAAAAAATGTAGGATGGAATTATAATGACTTTTGAATGCAACACTTAGCTCATTTTCTTAACATTTTAAAGATATGTATCGGGGCGTTGTTTGTTTCATAATGTCGAAGCTATTTGGATAAAAAACTTTACAGGTGTTATTAGAAAATGGTTGTTAAAATAACAGGAATCTGTTTAGATAATTTATCTTATTGACCATAATTTTCAAAATAATTGTAGGTGTCCGAATCACAAACTATCTTTCGCGAACACACACCCCGAGAGAGATAAGCGAAGAAGAACACGAGAGAGAGAGAGAGATAGAGGAAGAGATTGAGAGTGGGAGCGAGAGGGAGAGGGAGAGAGAGAGAAAGCAGTGCAGACAAAATTTTATGGAGAGAATTCGGGGGAAAATGTCCTTTTAATCATCGTTACACTCCCTATTTAAAGGATCCTGCTTACATAGTTATGGATAGAAAGGGCAATTAAGGATACCGTCCTTAATACAATTAATGTGCTAATTAATATCATATTTACATTATTATGGAATGTGGTACGATGACGATTGGCGGATCAATGTGCTTTGGATTGGTCGGCAGAAGCGATCTGTCGTATGAAGGTCGCTTTTGCTGAGGTAGATCAATCGACTAGTCGTGATCGATCGGTCTTTTACGAAGTCTTGATAATTGGAGCCGTAAAAAAGACCGTTGGTTGGATCCATCATTACTAAAGGTCGATTGACTTAATCGAGTTATTGGTCTTCACATGATCGATCAGATCGAACTCCTTAAATTCAATATTTTGATTGTTGAACCATTATCCATTATCGTCTGATCACTTTGTCATTCATGCTGACAATTTGATGCATAAATTAGTTCCCCGAGTTTTCATGCTCCTTGATAGTGATAACTACGATAAGAACAAGGAAACTATTAAATAATCAGTGAGACCAAAATAAAGAGAATCAATTAAGCAATTGACTTCCCCCTAGGTTCCACACTCAATGCGCTCTACAAATGGAGTCATGGGCTTTGTCATTACGTTATTTGTTGTCAGCTATCCTAAAACAATTGGAGGCCTCCCATGGCTGAGGGTGTGAGTCAGAGTTGGGTGGATCCTTAATTCTTGACTTTGGAAAGCTATTAGGTTTCTGCTTTTGTGAAGAAGAAGAAGACCATGAAAAAAGATAAGAGGTCTAACCCCAAATTTGTGGCGGTTGATCTACTTGACGCATCTGATAGCACTGAGGGACAGTCTCCAAAAATACTTCGTTAGCAAATTCTGGCGTCCGGGCTTGACATAAACGAGATTGTTGAGGGCCAGCGAGATTTGTTTGGCAAGAGGATTGTGGTTGAAGAAAAGGAGTCGAAGGGAGCGACAATTGTGGGTACTTTTTGGCCTTCACCTCAGAAAGATAGAGATACCTTATTATAAGAGAGAGATGAGTTCTCGAGAGTCCTTTTTAAAATGGACAGATTTTTTGTTATGCAAAAATTTTCTTTGGTTTAGTTGTTTTTTAACGACTCTATGACATTGTCTTGGATGTATATGAATCGATTGGGTTGGTGGGCCGCGAAGATGATGGGCTTTCAAAGGAAATTTTGGAGCCCGTACCCACTACGATGGCCATTTTGCAAGCTGAGTAAGCCGAGCTTCTATCGCTAATTACTCCAAAGGGGCACCAATTATCTGGCCCTTTGGTGGGCCTCCTAAAAGGAGCAACGAGGGTGGTGATAGCCTTCTCTCGGATTCACGAAGTGGTAAGCAGAAGGGATCAGACCCTTGGCGGTCGATTGGTTCCTCTGAGTGAGTGGTTAGTGGATCAACTGTAGATCTTGTTCGGGAGTTGTAAGCTCGCCTGGGAACTATGGATTCAAAGGTCGTAGCTCTGCAGACAGAGGTCACCACTTTACACATCGCATTGGTGGGCCTGTGGTGCGAGCTAGGAGCACTATGTGAATCGACTGCCATGGTTGAGTTCCAGCATGCCATTGATCGGGCGGGTCACATTAGGTTAGGCGAGAAGTTGGCCCTCTGATGACTAATTCAGAAGAGGTATGCCCCGACCAAAGCCTTGGAGGACCCGTTTATAAAACACTTCTTTCGAGACAAATAATACTGTTAGTAGCAATAAGGAAATATTTAGATAAATTTGAAAAGATATTTGATGTTACACTTATCATTATGTGACATCGTTTTATGCACCCGCCCTATAAATAGGGTGAGGAATTGTTTTTCTCCCTTTACGTTTTTAGGTTTCTTTTTTTATGGCTCTCGACCTAATTTATCCATTTGCGTTTTCTTGTGACAGCTCCCAAGTACCCTCCTACACTCTTTGGTTCTAGCAAGGCCTCTGACCCTTTGTTTTTGATGGGAAGGGATGCAGAGGAGTTGCAGAGGAGGTATGTCTTGGATGGAAGCATTGTCCTTTGGGCAATGCAGGGATCGACACACACGACGAACAATGTGGGCGAGTATTTGGTTTTCTTTTGGGGTTTGTTCAAGCATGGTATCTAGTTTTACTTATGTAGTGAGCTACGGAGCATCTTCAATAAATACATAGTCATTCTAGTGCTACCAAAATTCCATAGCCACGATAGTGATTTTTCTTTTCTATCGTTTAGAGAGCATCCCATGGCCGATCGACTTGTTTAATTATTATTATATATATTCAAGTTTGACAAGGAGGTTTCGTCATGTTCTCCATCGGCAAGAAAATCCAAATTCTCTTAGTTGAAAATAAGATAAAGGATTGGAGGAAACAATTTCTAGTTAGTTCTTGCTCCGGTGATTGAGGTGTTCTAACCAAATCATCAGAGCTGATGGGGGAAAAATGAGATGTTCCTTCCTTAGTACATGTACGTCACTGTGGTGATGCTAACTAACTGTCATCTCTTGGTTCCTCATTATACGACAGAGGCGATGGTACTCGAATGTTAAAAGGTGAGATGACTGGGGGGCAGTGCCGTCACTTAGACTGACGAGGTGAGGCGAATTAAGGAGGCGAGAGAGAAGGTGGCCACCAAGTAACAAAAATGGAAGTGCCTTCTAGTGACAGGTAATCCTTCAGACAGTTTTGACATATACTTTCCCACTAACAGGGTAACCTTTATGGAGAATGATATTAGGGGTGTAGAATTTATAGTTTCTAAATCTGCAACCACAGTAGTTGTCCAAAACACAGTGACATGTGAGGTTACTATGATTGCCTGAATTTGTTTGATTAGTGCAAGGAAGAGCGAAGAAATCAAATCTGCTTTAGAGAATACCCGGGGAGAAGTCAAGGCTAAGGCCCCTTCATCTCCTAAATTTAGGTCAGGGCTCTTCATCCATTGCCTTGTCTGAGCAGGCAAGGGTTGGCCAGCCCATCTCCCCTGTTCCATCTCTATCGACGTCAGAGGAAGCGACATCGTCTCCCCACTACCATCCCCCATATTCTCCAGAGGGAGAATCTTCTCTTCAGTGAGGGAAGGTGCCACACCATGATGCCTTGATACACAAAGAAGATGGGTGGGTGTGGGATAGTGCCAACAAGTAGTTCAACCTCTTAGAGAGGTTGAGGGATTGGTTTCCCCGCATGACCCTGAACATAGGCACGCCCCTGCTTTTGGTAGAGTTGCTATAGTCCGAGGTGATTGGAAAATCTTTAAGGGGCCTTAAGCAATGATATACTTCTTTTATCTGATGGTGGCACAGGACACTCATTTTCAAGGGCTGGCCTGACAACCTCGGAAAGATCTCTGGGCTAGACTCGGAAGAAATTGCCTCTCTACAGCTATAGTTGGGGAAGGTGCAATACAAAAATGCTCTTAAGAGATATAAGAATCTCTCACGACTATCAAAGCTCTGGAGAGAGAGGTCGAAAGAAGGTTTCTTCGTCCATTTCTGAGGAGCAGCAAAGGATCAGACCGACGAAACAGCTCCGAAGTGGAATTGATTTCGTTGTCTAGAGGTTCATTGACCAACTTTTTTTTGTAATCGACAAATACAAGAATTTGATGACGCTACTAGAATATTTAATTTTCCAACAACAGTGTCCAAAGACTTGATCGCGACTTTATAGATGTGACTTCAACGCAAGTATACGTATTGCTCAAGTAATATAGGACTCTAATGGAGTCCTAGATATCGATCCCACAGGGAGTGTTTTAGAATCACAGACTAAGACTTTTAGAAAAGCAAGACTTTAATCACAACAACGACGTTCAATTTGCTTATCTGTCACTAATAGGCAATTGAAATAAATAGATAATTTTAATAACTAATAAATAACTAATGATATAA